GGCCTTACTGAACGTTAGGCGAAGGTGGGGAGCTAGTGGGAGAGGGTAGTCGTCATATGTCTCGGCGTGAGGAGTAAGGAAGATCTATTGGTTCGTCTAGTGGTCAGCTATGGTTATTCGCGGGGATTGGTTCTTTCAACAGCGCTCCCCGCATCGTCGCTTACGTCGAGAAGAGTTGAGGGGTGGGAGACGTTACCGAAAAATTATGACGAAAAGATGTTTCCTTAAAGTTAGAAGAGCGAGAGAGAGATATAGAGAGAGGCGAGAGCAGGTCTGGACAGCTATGGGTATGCGGTGTTCGGTCTCGGCTCCTTTGATTCTTACGTTGAGCCGTGGGGGAGGGGAGGAAGGGTATTATCCATTCGTGCGTCAGCATCGTGGAAATTTCTGGAGTTTATCGAAGAATATAATAAAAGAAGGAGACGCTTTTGAGGAAAAGAAAAGAAATAAACATGTTACAGGATAAAATCTGCTATTTATTTATAATTACATATTAGGGTTCACAATATTATGAATTTGACGCGAGTTGCATCGCTTGATTTTTTATTATTCGTACAATTTCGTGGAGATGAAACGAAGTTAGCTCCAGAAAGAGAATGTCAAAGTACACGTCCAGAAAATCAAAGTTTAATAACTGCCGCTGGACGTTTTCCTCGATCTCCTTGAGATTATTTCAGAGCGTGTTTTCCACCATGTCCTCATCTAAATTCGACGCAATTGTTGACGAGATTAGTTAGCGAATATAGCTGTTTTCGCCGTGCGTCGATGCAACTGGCAATACTTTGGAGGCCTTCGAACGTGATTTTCTGCATCGCTATCGACGGCGAGTAGGTCTTGCGTTTCTTCTTCGATGGCTCCGTCGCTGTCGCGGAATCCACTGTTGTGGCTTTCTCTTCTTCCACTTCGCGATTACGCGTTACCATTATTGCTCTTGTGCCGTAAGTGGTGGTGAAATAAATATTCGCGTTCTTTAGGATCAAGGGTTGTGGCGTAATTTTATCAACCCCGCGCAAGTAAGCATGCACGAGATCAAATTCCGCTTGAAACTTCTGCCACGTTTCGAGTTCGAGGTAGATATAATCCGTCGAATTTCCGATTAGTTTTATCGTCGCTTCGTACCTTCCTGAGTCGTTTGCTTGCACTCCCACTTGCACCCTCTTCGTATCCGAATTGTTTAAAGTGTATGTTGTAGACAGTAACATGTTGCCCTTTCGATTAAAGTTTCGACCACTTGTGATGTCACTGCGGGTGTTATTACATCCGTCCTTCTCGATATTCTGCTTGTTAGCGGCCATTATATTTCTCACGACACACGCTCCTCGAATAACCCGTGAATAATTTTAACAAACGCCGACTTTTCGTAACAGCGAAACGTGACTATCGGAGCACTACCGACTGTATGAAACCCGCGAGCGATCAAGAACGGTTTTATAGGGTCCCGAGAGTGCGAAAAATGCATAGAGGGAGGTAGTATACATGTGCCAAAAATGTTTATTTAATAACATTTTTCAGTTACGCTTCTCTGGCGCGCTTTTCTAGGAAGTGTTTTTCTGGAATTTTCTGGATTTTCTGGAATGCAGGGGGGGCTTTAAGCGCACTAGTTTATGACAAACGATAATATTTTATACCTGATATTCTGTCTCCTTTTAATGTTAGTCATTACGACATCGCTTCTCTCAAGTTTATTTTCATCTTATCGCATTTTCTTTTTTCTTAAACGCAACGGTTGCCGTAACCGGCGACAATATTCTAAACTCTCCTTTTCTTCTTTGTATGTTTAGGCTCTCGTATCTTGTGCACGTTTAGCACGTAGCTGATTGTTTCGTCATGTTTTCCGTGTTCCGGTTTGAAAAAAAGCGAGCCTGGTAGGCGCGTGTGCAGGCACCGTGCAGCTGCCGTGCTCGTGTCGTCTGAGGCGAAAGACACGCACCAAAAAAACAAGTATTCTCGCGTTCTAATGAAGCGGAGCGAGATATAAACAGACGTATTTGGAATATGTCACGAATTAGCAGGCTATTGTAATAGCCGCCACAAGCGAAAAAATAGCTAACGGTATTTCAGCCAGCGTCTTCTGAGTCAGCGCGAGGATTGCCGTCAAAGATACGATCGGAATTCGCTTTTTAACATAAAGAGCGATTTTCCTAGAGGAAGCGCACCGTTATATACCCGTATCATTCTTTTGTCGGCGAATGGTCACGCATTCTCACACATCCGGTAGAAAAAACAATTTTGAAAACGCTTAATCCGTCGAGTCTTACTACTTACCTCAATATTTACCGAGCGACGATAAACCCTAATAATTTTAAAAATCCGCCTTTCTTTCCTGGGAGAACCGTTTTGTCCTAGAAGAGAGAGGAGTAAGATTTTGAGGGTATATATGCGAGGAGAAAACTCCGGTTTCGCATTTTCTACCGTCAGTTTTCTGTTGTGAGACCCCGATACAATGTCGCGAGTGGGTACGTTAGTGCGCGAGTTCATTGTTACGGCTTCAAACGCTGTAAGTATCGATAGCGTTCGATATTTGACGCGTATTTCCGCCGATGACGCGGAAAATTATAACATATTTTATTCTTTTGCATGCGCTTGTAGCAGCACGCTGCTAGCGCTTTTGTGTAAGTGTGAAAAATTTCGGGGTGATCCGAAATTGTTGGAAATAATCCGTGAAATTCTAATATTTCGATGGAATTTTGAAGAGAACGTCGAGGACGTGTAGGGTATTGTCGCCGACGCGATATCCTACAATGGGTAAGTTAAAACATATCAATTTTATAACGAAAACTAAAACTAAGTAATTTACACGAATTTTTAAAATAATTATTGTTTTTATCGTTTTATAAGAGCGAGTCTCGTAGCCGTCGGTAGCAGTGGCGAGGAGGCGCTTGAGCTTCTTCCGCGGGGTCGTAAACGCCGAACCAGCTTACCCGAGTCAAGCTACTTCGCGTAAGTACAAATCGAGAGAGAGGATTTAAGGCAGTTTATCGGGTAAATTATCTAACACCAAAGTAATTTTTAGATCGTAATAATGCTCAGTCATCGGAAGCCGACTTATGGGATTCCGATAGCATCTGCAGCGTGGAAACGCTTGTGAACGAGCCCGTCGTCGTCGCTGCTGAGCCCATAGGTAAGGCGGTATAAATATTTATAAAATAACAAAAGTTGTCATGTTAAAATCGATTCATACGATATAAGTATAATTTTATTTTCAGAAAATATCGGAAATGATGCCGGCGCTAGCAAAACGCTAGACGCCGCCGCTGCCGGTGCGGACGACACCGACGACGACGACGACGACGACGACGACGGCGATAGATCCGACAGCGACGACGACGACGACGATGACGACGACGACGACGACGACGACGATGACGACGGCGATGATGGCTACGTCGCCGTCGTCAATGACGGCGGCAACGACGTCAATGTGGACGAAGACGGCGTCGCGGAGAGTAATGAGGGAGAGGAACGCGACGACGACGAGGACGACAATGAAGGGGGCAATGGAGAAAACATTCGCCGCTATTGAGCGCCGCTTTCTTCAACAATAGAAGGTAAGAACTTTTGCGTGCAAACCCACGTGGAATTCACTAGATGTTTATTTTTATTTACGTTCGAATTTAATCAAAACTAAATGAAATTAGAACCGAGTTACTCGCCTGTTAGTTGCCATTCCGACGTATACTATATATTCCCGACGTGGAAAGAGAAGAAGCGGAATGGGAAAGGATATTGTGAGAGGGTAACGCGGAAATCCCCCCGGAATTACGAATTTTTCCCGATTCCCCCATATAGGGTTCTAGTCAGGAATTATCGTCAATTTAACGCCGGAAGAGTAGATTCGAACGTAAGTTATAAGATGGTTATAAAATATTAAATATTTTTACAGAGCTCGCGTTTCTAATTATTTTGCATTATTCTTTTACAGTACAACAAGGAGGCACATGCGGACGCGTTCTCTCCTCCTCCGAAATGGAACCGGCGAGAGAGGAGTCTATGGAGGAGGAAGAAGAAAAGAAGTTTCTCACGAGTGCGGTAATGTTAAGTTTAATTATATTGAAATACGAGAGGAAAACGCGCGGTGGTTTAGAAATCTCCATATATTAGGACGAGAGGCTAGTATAAAGATTCTCCCACCCGTCGAAGGCACCGACATCGCTAAACATTTAAAAAACGCGTTCCGCGAAATCTATTCTTACGCTGTTAATTCCGCTAACGCGAGCGATTACGTGGGGCTGTTTTTCACCTCGACAGCTTTAACACGCGGGCCGGCCGGCTTATCGTTTCGCCCGGTGCGAGACTTGACTCACGAGGATATCTGGGGCCTCGTAAGCTCGGTAGCGCAGAGCGCCGGGGGGTCACGATATCGCGGAACGCTTTTTAATAACTGTGTACAATGTCGGGGTGCCTTCGGGCCGAGG